GAGAATACAACTCTGGTGCACACCTTTCCTGATTTTAAACCATTCAGTATTTCCTTGTTCTGTTCGAAAACTGCCACTTGGTTTATGTACAGGTTCCTCATGAGCATAACTAAGCGTTCTGGAATACTCATACTTCACAATGGTGTCCATAGCTTGTCAGGATCCACACAATCGAAGGCTTTTGCCTAGTCAATAAAAGCACAGGTAAACATCTTTCTGTTATTCTCGGCTTTCAGCCAAGATCCATTTGATGTCAGCAATTAGATCCCTTATTCCACATCCTCATCTGAATCTGGCTTGAACTTCTGGGACTTCCTTGTCAGTATACTGCTGTAGCTGTTTTAAAATTATCTTTAGCAAAATGTTACTTGTATGTGATATTAATGATATTGTTTGATAATTTTGGCATTCTGTTATGTCTGTCACCTCTTTGGAATGGGCACAAATATGGATCTCTTTCAATCAATTGGCCAGATAGCTGTCTTCCCAATTTCTTGGCATAGATGAGTGAGTGCCTCGAGTGCTGCATCCGTGTGTTGCAAGAGTTCGGTTTGTATTCCATCAATTCTCCAAGCCTTGTTCTTTGCCTTTAGTGCGTCGTGGAATGCTTCCTTCAGTATCATTAGCTCTTGATCATATGTTACCTCTTGAAATGGTTGAACATTGGCCATTTCTCTTTGGTACAATAACAACAACAATAATGGCTCTGTTTATCCCTTCCATTGTCTTCTTCTTTTATTTATTTTTTATTGTGAACCGAGTATTAGTTTACATGGGAGAACATCAGCTTTATACCATTGTTTCATTGCAATGATTACAATCTCCTCTGTATATCATCATTCACCAATATTTGCTTCCATTCCCTCTGTTATTTTTTTTGAGGGGGTGGGAAGATGTACACAAACATACTCTGGCACATATAATAATTTAAATAACCAAAGGAAACATTTTGCAAGCCTGCCTCCTGGCCACCAGCACTCAGTCCCTCTCTTTCCATGAGTCTAGAGTCCTCAGCTGCTCCCTCTCTCCATGTCTTCATCTCTGCCTCCATCTCTGGTGTTACTGCTTCTCTGGATAAGGGCCCCGCATTCCGCTTGTGCTCTTCTCCCTTGACGGTCCTATGGTCCTCTGTTTCTGGACTGTAAGATTAACTACTACCCCATTTTTGTTATAAAACTTCTACCTTTACAGTTGTGACAGTCGCAATTAGTCATGATAACAATTACTCACTATTGAATCATAAGAATCTTACCTGCATCTCCTTTCACCAGACCCATCTAGACAAGATGAAAACTATTCAGTGAGGACTCTATCTTCCCCTGCACACTCTTAAACTAAATTCCGTCTTGAAAACTTGTAAGCCAGTCACTTCGTGCCTTTATTGCCCCCTCATTTTAGGTAGCCAGTGTCTGAGTTGCCCATCCCTATCTATGCTGTATACAGAGGGGATAGGATTGACACTTGATGTGAAGACGCCATTCCTCTCTGTTGGTATTTTGAGCTACTACATACATAAATATAGGTAAAGTTCATCAAATTGTAGCAATTTACACTTATTTTGTTTATCAAAAATTGTTTGTTTTTTTTTAAATCTTCTTCTAGTAGAGTTCTGATTATCAAGCCATTGAGGCTAGGTCAAATGCTATCTGCAAATTTGCATGTTCTTGTGCATCTCTCCTCACTTCATGTCAGCTGGATGCTTCACTCTCAGCTCTAGCCCTCTGTGGCTGTGTCCTTGTTCATGGGCTCAGGAGTCCCCAGGTATCACCATACAATGGACCAACCAGCCCTTCCTCTTCTCTCTCTCATCTCCAGGTCAACAAGAGTCTGTGGAACATGGTTAAACTCAGCCTATTTCTTCATTTGCTGCCTTTCCCCCTCTTCCACTCACCAATAGACCAGTGTGGTCTCCAGCAAGCTTACATGCCTGCTCATGTGTTCCCTTTGAGTTTTAGTCTTGGAGGAGGGTTTTTCCTGAAGGGACTTGATTGCTTGCCTTGATGGCTTCCTGGTGAACAACTTGCTTATTCTTGTAGTAGCCAATCATACGCCATTTTTGTTTCGGGCTTTTCTTGCTGATCTTTCTTTGAAGATGTATCTTCTGTTGCTCTAGCTATTCCAGGCTGATCTACTTGTCCTTTCTAGTGTAATGACCTACCCCAGAAGGTTCTGGACAGGGCTCAGGATTCCACCTAAGGTCCTATACACTGCAAAGGCTCCACAAGAGGCCTATTTTACTGGGTAAGTTCTAGAACCCCTTTTAGGTATTCCAATCAGTTCCTTCCATCTTCTTTTGATAGTTTCTGCATCATTCAATATTTTGCCCATAGAATCCTTCAGTGTTGCAAGTGGAGGCCAATTTTTTTTTCTTCCGTTCTTTCAGCTTGAGAAATTCTGAACATCTTCTTCCCTTTTGGTTTTTTAACTCCAGGTCTTTGCACATTTCACTATAATATTGGATTTTGTCTTCTCGAGCTGCCCTTTGAAATTTTCTATTCTCTTTTTTACTTGCTCATTTCTTCCATTTGCTTTAACATCTCTATGCTGGAGAGCAAGTTCCAGAATCTCTTCTGAAATCTGTTTTGGTCATTTCCTTATTTCTTGTCTTCTTAATGACTTTTTGCTTTCTTCCTGTGTGTTCTTGATGTCATCCCACAACTTCTGGTCATTAGTCATTAGTGTCTGATTCATCAAATCACTTCTTGAGATCATCTCTGAATTCGGGTGGTATATGTTCAAGGTCATATTTGGGCTTTCATGGAATTATTTTAAATTTCTTCAGCTTCAGCCTCAACTTGCATATAAGCAACAGATGGCCTGGTTTTGGCTGATGACATGGAGATTTTCATCCATGTGTTTCCACAGATGTAGTCAATTTGATTTCTGTGTTTTCCATCTGGTGAATTCCATGTATATATCCATGTTTTACATTGCTTTAAAAAGGTATTTGTAATGAAGAAGTTATTGGTCTTGAAAAATTATGTCATGCTCTCTCCAGCATTATTTCTGTCACCAAGGTCATATTTCCCAACAACTGATCCTTCTTCTTTGTTTCCGACCTTGTCCTTCCAATCCCCAGGAATTATCATTACATCTTGTTTGCATGTTTGATAAATTTCAGGCTGAAGAAGTTGGTAAAATTCTTCAATTTCATCATCACTGAATTTAGTGGTTAGTGCATAAATTTTAATAATAGTTGTATTGACTGGTCTACCTTGTAGGCGTATGAATTATCCTGTCACAGACAACATTATACTTTGAGATAAATCTTGAAATGTTCTTTTAAATGATGAATGTGACACCATTTCTCCTCAATTTGTCATCCTCAGCATAGTAAACCATGTGATATTCAGATTCAAAGTGGCCCATACCAGCCCATTTCAGTGCACTAATGCCTAGGATAACGATCTTTATGCATTCCATTTCAGTTTTGACAATGCCCATATTCCTAGAGTCACACTTCATACATTCCATGCTCCAATTATTAATGGATGTATACAGCTGTTTCTCCTCATTTTCATTTGTGCCCCATCAGCAAATGAAGGTCCCAGTACTTCTGCTCCATTCGCGTCATCACAGTCAACTCTACTTTGAGGAGGCAGCTCTACCCCAGTGGTATTTTGAGTGCCTACCAACCTGAGGGGCTCATCTTTTAACACTGTATCTGATAGTATTCTGGTGCTTTTTTCATGTTTCAGTATTCAATATTGTAGTGCTATCTGACAGTGTTCAACTGCTATTCATAAGGTTTTTAGTTTTTAGTGGCCAGTGAGTAAATATTCAGAAGTAGTCAGTCTCTCCTTCTTCCTAGACTGGCTGAGTCTGGAAACTCAACTGGAAACTGTCCACCATGGATAACCCAGCTGGTATTTAAGGTACTGCTGGCATAGCTTCCAGAATCACAGTAACATACAAACCACCACAATACAACAAACTGAAAAAGTAAATGGGAGAATTTTGTAATGTTGGCGTCAGACTAACACCATCTGAATGCACTGATTAATTTCAGTGTCCCTAAAAATGAGATCCCAAAACATTACATACCTGATGATATAATTCAATTGGAAGTACACCGCACAATTTGTTGCCTAAAATGATAATAATTGTAATAAGCTTTAATCAGTCAAATCTTTAGGTCAGCACTGTCCAATTTGATTTTCTGCAATGATGTAAATAATCTTTATCTGCTTTGTCCAACATGGAGGTTTTGAGCACTTGAAATGTGACTAGTAGGACTAAGGAACTGGTATGTTTGAAATGAACTTAAATAGCTACATGTGGAGTCATGGTGTGGTATTGCAGGATAAGCACTCGACTGCAAAGTCGGTTTAAACCGACAGCACTTAACATGTGGCTAGTATTACACAGCACATCTCTATATTTAACTCCCAGTTTCCAGGAAATATGGTGGGTAGAGGAATAATTTAAACAATACCAGGAGGAAACAATTAGTCAAATCCATTTGTTCTATAAATGACCTGATTTCTCTAATAAATCAATGGTATGGGGAAGAATGATCTGGGGTGGAAGGATTAAAAGGAAAGTGTAGCTGTTTTAGAAACAGAGCCTTAAGAGACCTAACAGTCTAATTAATGCTTGGTTTTGATCCCAAATTGAACAACCAATTGTAGAAAGACATTCTTTGAGATAGTGCAGTTTAAATTTGAACATGGTATTAGATGATACTAAGGAATTATTGTTAATTTTGTGAAGTATGATAATCCCATACTGGTTATGCATTTTAAATGTACTTATCAGCTAGAGGTGCATGCATTTATATGATCTTGAGTGTTACTGCCTCACTTGCCTCACCATAGTCCCAGCCTTGCTTGGGTTGCAGTATAATAGAATAGGTATATAATGGGGTCATTTATCACAGGTTATAAAGACCTGCCCCAGGAGAATTTCTATATCTGACATCCAAGATTTAATTTCTAAATTTATCAAAGGTTGTATTGGTAGGCTTTGTAGAACTTCCCTATCTCTTTGTCTTGATCCAGATGACCCCCAAAAGAAGAACAAAGGTGATCCCATGAACAACCTGGAAAATTTTTACCAAGAGATGATAATGAAAAAACGTCTTGAAGAGTTCCAACTTATGAGAGGTGAACCCTTTGCTTCCCACTCACTGGTGTCAGCTACATCAGTGGGAGATAGTGATACAGCTGAGAACCCGCCATTACTACAGGACAAGGGAAAACAGGCAGCACAGGGCCAAGGTCCCAGTCTCCATGTGGCAAAAGTTATTGATTTTTCACCTCAGCAGTGTTGGACTGGGCCTAAGAAGCTGACGCAGCCAATAGAATCTGTCCCAGAAGATGAGATCCAGAGAAATCGTTTGTCAGAGGAAGAGATCCGAAAAATTCCTATGTTTTCTTCATATAATCCAGGGGAGCCAAACAAGGTATAGGCCAATTTAAAAAACAGAAAACAAATGGGTGCTTTTCATTTTATTTCCCTCTCCCTAAAGTAATACTTTTAAACTAATTGTAATCGTACCAAAGAATCACATGAGAGGCACAGGGATGATTTGATCTTGGCTACTCTTTCTCTGCATATTCATTCTCTGCATAGTAGCATATTCCCTATGACGCACTTTTTGCTTTTCTAAGGTTCTAACTACACTTGAAATTTTAAAGAAATTTTTATGAGAATCAGGTTCATAACTACCAGAAACATGAATTGAAGGAAGGTTGTTGTTGTTATGTGCCGTGGAATCTGTTCGAACTCAAAGAGGTACTGTATAACAGGGCTGGAAAACGTCCGACCCACAGACCACATAAGGCCCTCAAAATAATTTGGTCTGGCCCTGCCAAGGCAACTGCATCCATCCATCACATTGTTGTTGTGCCATGGAGTCAGTTCTGACTCATGGCGACCTTGTGTAGGATTTCCTCAGAGCAGCTAGTAAGTTTCAACTGCCGACCTTGTGGTTCAAACTGACCTTGAAGTCCACTGTTTATCCTACAGTGCCACACCAGGACTCCAGCCATCACACTAGGGGGCTAATTTTTAAGTTGATAATTTATGACCCATGAATGATACTACAAATTTTGGCAGAAAAAAGCTTCCCCACATCTGCTGTATAAGGGTTTCCAAGAGCAGCAGGTGGGTTTGAGCTGCTGACATTGCTGTTAGCATGGTTAGCAGTCCAGTGTTTATCCTACAGCACCTCACCAGGGGCTGACTTGAAGGAATACTAATCTCTAATAATCAAGTAATATTCAAAGGATTACATTATCCAGTAACCGTTGTTACTGGAAGTAAGTAAAGTGTACCACATGAGCTTTCTCCTCAGAATGTTTCACCTGACATTTGACTTATATCACCAGTAGCTAAGCATCAGTTACAAGCACTTGTCCTCTAAATCTTGAGAAATTGGCAAACATGAAACTAAGTAAAATTATAACGAATTCTTGTTTTGTTGATCAGATCATTATTTCATACTCATGGTATGTGTTACGTGTGAAATAAAAAAAAAAAAAACAACTCTTCATTATCATATCACCCAAAGAGGCAACACAGTTCCTATAACATTAACTTTGTTCTGTCTAATTTTAAAAGCAAAACCAAAAAAAAAAAAAAAATATCTTATTGTCCTATACAGGTTTTTTTTTTTTTTTTAAGAGATTGCACATTAGACTATTAAAGCAGTTTCCTTTCAGTTTCTGAATTTCTAGTATATTCTTGGTATTAGCTCAAGAGTAACTTGAGTTTTATGTTTATTATAAAATATTACCAATATACAAAAGTTATAGATATAACTATACACCTTTGTACTCAACCAGTCATCTTTGTCAAGTCTTAGCATGTTCTATAGTTGCTTAATTTTAAAAAGGTAAACCATTACAGATAAACCTGCATATTTCTACATATCCCTTAACATTCCCATCCTCTTCCCTTTTTTCCACAGCTAACCACTATCCTGAATTTGGTCTTTTTCATTCCCATGTATGTTTTTACATTTTTACTGAAATTCTGTTGTTGTTGTTGTTGTTGTTAGTTGTCATCGAGTTGATTCTGACTTCTGGTGACTCATGTGTTTCAGAGTAGAATTGTCCCATAGTGTTTTCTACCCTGAAACCTTTCAGAAGTGATTTGATAGGCCTGTCTTCTGAGATACCTCTGGGTGGATTTGAACCACCAGCCTTTTGGCTAGTAATCAATCACTTAAACAACATATAGTTTTATACATTTTAAAACTACATAAATTATGTCATACTTTACATATTCTTCCAAACTTGCTTTGTTGACTCAATATTTATGTTTTTGAAATTCAATTCCAGTGTATAATGAACTACGTAGTATTTCACTGTAGAAAAGTATCAATTCATTTGTCTATTTGCCTGTTGAATATTTTTTAAATATGTCCACTATTTCTTCACTAACACCACAATTTGAATGCATCATTTCTTCTTCTATTTCCTTTTTCATTATCCAAATTTCAGATGCTTATGAGGCAATTGAAAAGACCATGGCTTTGGTCATACACACCTTAGTCATCATCTTTGCTTTTAAAATTTTTTGCAACAGATTTTTACAATGCAATATATCACTTGATTTCTTAACTGCTATTTCCATGGGCATTGATTATTCATCCAAATAGAATGAAATCTTTGAGAACTTCAATTTGTTTCCCATTTATTATGTTGTTTCTTAGTACAGTTGTACAGATTTTGTTTTTGTCTTGTCAGGTATAATCCATACTGAAGGATATAGTCTTTGATGTTCCTCAGTAAGTGCTTCATGTCATCTTCATTTTAGCAATCAGTGTCATGTTATCTGCATATTACGGGTTGTTAGAGTCTTCCTCCAATCCTGATGTCACAATCTACTTTGTATGCTTCCCAGATTATTCAGCATACAAATTGAATAAATTAGGTGAGAAGACATAACCCTGTCACACGCCCTTTCCAGTTTTGAACTACACGATATCCCGATGTTCTATTCAAACTGCTGCTATTGATTCACGTCCAGGTTCTACAAAAACACAATGAAATTATCACTCAATTAAATGTTATCCTTAATTTTTTATGATCCACACAGTCAACTGCATTCACAGAGTTGACAAAACATAGGTAAAAATATTTCTGGTATTCTCTGTATACAAATACTTAAATATCATTTAGGATGTTGGGCTCCCAGGGAAGATGGTAGGCTATTATAAGAGATTTTAACTATGTTACAAATGAATCAAACAATTTCAATGAAGGAAACAGGGAGAAAAATATCTTTGGAAATGTGTGGAGTCTGGAAGACTGAAAGCAAAGTGAATGGCATATGATCAATATACTATAGTTGACAAAGTTGTTTCCCATGATGGTGTGGGTTAACAATACTGATACTACTATACTTGTATACTGAAATAGAACAGGTAGATAAATAAGTGACAGATAGTGGGAGTCAGGTTTCACTATTAGAGTGAGCATTTACAGATGAGAAGAGGACCCTGTGGTAAAGGATTGGAGTCGGCAACATCAGAATGAACTCATGTCTAATTTTATATCAATACAAATGGTTAATGTATAGAAGTATTTGTAGATGTGTGTATATACTCAGGTTGTAGATACTGTTTTTCATCTGTCACAATTTGAATGCATCGGTTGAGAGAGACCAGAAGAAACAACACCCCAGTAATATCAACAAGCTTAACATCCAGATCTTAATTTGTAGTGCCATTCTCCAATAAAAGGAACCAGGAGTTGCTAGGGACAATAACTGTTTTAAGGACTAGGCAGGCAATATACAAGACTAAGCTTAGAGGATCATCTAGTACTAGAAAGTGTAGAAATACACAAAACGAACAAAAAAGTTTTGGGAGTATGTCAGAGGGGCACAGGAACCAACCGAAAGAGCTTCAGATGTTCAAAAGTGGAAAGCTTTGTACAAAAACCTAGATAGTGTAGGATTGTAACCCCGATTATAAAATAAATACCCATGAGTCTACATAAATTATAGATCGATTGTTAATTAAATAAATGGGGGAGAAAAAGACAAATACTCCACCCTCAAAGAGGGGGAGAATAACTCCCTACTCTTTATGTGTAGGCTACTCATAGAGACTTCCTTCCCAAGATTACAGCATAGAAAAGGAAGAGTAGCTTTATAGTAGAGAAAACTTGCACTGACTACCTCATTTAGGTAATGAAGATCAACATGCGCAGTCACAATATGTTGCTATTATTTACACTTGATATGATGTCATGAAAATGGCAGTTTACCTCCGTGGTCTTCATCCCAGTATCATACAACTCCATTTTAACCATGAGAAAGAAAATTCACCAGACAAATTTCAGTAGTGGGGCATCGTACCAAATAAATGACCAATACTCCTCAAAAAATTGTCAAGGTTGTCAAAACCATGTAAGTCAGAAATTGCCACAACCCAAAGAGAATCCTCAGCATACATAACAACTGAATGTAATGTGTCCTGGATGTGATCTTGGTACAGAAAAAGGACTCTAGGGGACAACTAAGGAAATATAAAGAAACAAGACATTGGTTAATAATTATGTATCAGTATTGATTTATTGGAGTCCTGGTATGGCGCTGCAGGTTAATGTGCTGGACTGCAAGGTCAGTTTGAACCACAAGGTTGGTGGTTCAAGCTCACCAGCCACTCTTCGGAAACCCTATCTATACAGGGTTGCTATGGGTCAGAACCGACTCAACAGCACTTAACAACAGCAACATTGTTGTAACCAGCAGATCATACTAATATAAGATATTAATAATAGGGAAACTGGATGCAGAGTATATGCAACGCTCTGTATTTCAATTTTTTTGTAAATGTAAAACTTTAAAAAATTGCAGTCTTTAAAATGGGGTAAAAAGTTAGCTATATAAGAATGCATATAGTATAATTGCCATTTATTTAAAATTTAAACCGTGCAAATGGCACTGTGCATTGCATAGGGAGGCGCTTCATTGTCTTATCACTTACAGTTTCGATTTTTCTTTTTTACAAAAATGATTATCTTATTTTTTAGCCTAGCTGTATCTTTTTGCGTTTATATGTGCATATATATGTTAATATATATGCTATAGACTTTATAGATATACACCATGTTGTTGTCATATGCTGTCAAGTCAGTTCCAACTCACAGTGACCCCGTATTGGATTCCCAAGAGTGGCAGGTGAGTTTGAACTGCTGACCTTGCAGTTAGCAGTCCAGTATATACAGATAGGTATATGTGTTTGTGGGAGCACTGTGGTTTCATAGGATAAGCAATGGGCTGCGAACCACACAGTCAGCAGTTGGAGCCCACCAGGCGCTCCGCGGGAGAATGATGAGGCTTTCTACTCCCGTAAAGATTTACACCCTCGGAAACCCTGTACAGGGTCGCTATGGGTCGGAACCGACTCGATGGCACTTAACAACAACAACATGTGTATGGATGTATGTTTTTGGAATACAGAAAATACATGTAAGCAAATACAGAGCCATCTCAACCAGAAGTCCTCTTGATTTTTTTCAAAAATGTTCATGTTAGAGGAAACAGTCTTAGTATGGACCTTATCTGGTGAGAACTTGTTCTCTGTAAGCATTTTTTTTTTTTTTAATAGCATCCCTTTTCTAATAGATAACAATATCTTCTCTAATTTCCCTGAGAATATTAATGGTGTTTTACTGATTTTTTTCCCTCCCTTCATTGTTGTTGTTAAGAGCCATAGAGTTGATTCCAACTCATACTAACCCTATATAGGGTTCCCTAGGCTGTAAGTCTTGGTGGGAGCAGAAATCCTTATCTTTCTTCCAAGGAGCAGCTAGTGGGCTGCCGACCTTGTGGTATAGCAGTCCAGTGCTTATCATACAGAGCCACCATGCTCTCTTCATGGTCTCTATTTTCTCTCATTTGTTTTCTTTTCTATTTATTTTGTCCCCAGTCTTTCACATCAGAAACTTTACTCACATATCTGATAGTACATGTTCGTACTTATAGTGGGAGATTGAAAAGCTGATTGGAAAATTCGAGTACCTAAGGGGCCTTTGTTTCTGTTGAGCTTTCTTTTAAGGTGATTTGACTGAACCATTTGTTGGTAAAACTCCCCATCCCAAGTCAGTATTTTTAGATTTGTACTCTTGAGGTTTATCAGAGAAGCCTGTTCCAAACTCTTGCTTATTCAATATTTGTGCTGAGCAAATAATCCAAAAAGTTGGATTCTGTGAAGAAGTACATGACATCAAGACTGGAGGGAAACTCATTAACAACCTGCAATATGCAGATGACTCAACTTTGCTTGCTGGAAGTGAAGAGGACTTACTGATGAAAATCAAGACTACAGCCTTCAGTATGGACTGCACTTCAATCAAGAAAACCAAATTCTCACAACTGGACCAATAAATAACATCATGACTAATGGAGAAAAGCTTGAAGTTGTCAAAGACATAATTTTGCTTAGATCCATAATCAACACTCATGGAAGCAGCAGTCAAGAAATCAAGCAGCATATTACATTAGACAAATCTGTTGCACAAGGTCTCTTTAAAATGTTAAAGATCAAAGATGTCAGTTTGAGGACTAAGGAGCACCTGACCCAAACCATGGAATTTTCAGTCATCATACATGCATGTGAAAGTTGAACAATGAATAAGGAAGGCAGTTGATGCATTTGAAGTATGGGAGAATTATGGGATTGGAGAAGAATATTGAAAGTACCATGGACTGCCTGAAGAACAAACACATAGATCTTGGAAGAAGTGCAACCCAAATGCCCCTTAGAAGCAAGTATGGCATTCTTTGGACACGTTGTCAGGAGGGGTCAGTTTGTGGAGAAAGGACATCATGGAGAATCGGTGAAAAAGAAGAAGTTCCCCCAAAAGACGATTGACACAGTGGCAGTAACAATGAACTCAAACATCACAATTGTGAGGATGATGCGGGACTGGGCAGTGTTTCTTTCTCTTGTGCCTAGGGTCTCTGTGAGTTGGAACTGACTCAATGGAACCTAACAGTAACAATCTCATTTTAATTCCATCTGTTCACATCTATTTCCAGAGGCATATGAAGCTATAAATTCGTGGACTGTTTGAAGACTCTTAAGTGTGTATTAGACTAGTTTTGACTTTTTTCATTTCTGGTTTAAGATTAAATTTTCTTGGGTGTGCTGAGTTAGTTTCTACCTGCTCTTGTCTCCATTTTTGTTCTTCCTGACCTTGCGAGTTTACGCTAAAAAAATTTTTAAAAACCTATGGTTTTCTAGGTGTTTTGGGGAGGAGTGAAATTAGATGCATATCTTTAATTTACCATCGTTCTCTGAAACCCGTTTAACTATAATGAAAGAGTGGCCTTACCTTCCTCATGAGATATCTCTTGTTGTCATCGGTTTGCATTAGGTGTTATATCTGAAGAACCTCAGCCCTCGGGTAACTGAAAGGGATCTTGTCTCATTATTCGCCCGGTTCCAGGAGAAAAAAGGACCTCCAATTCAATTTCGAATGATGACTGGACGCATGAGAGGCCAGGCTTTCATCACCTTTCCCAGTGAGTAACTTCATCTGAAAGACTACTCAGTTGCAGCATCAGTTCACTAAGACTGCCTATAACCTCTCTGATTTTTGAGTTCTATCCCCTTGTTGGTGCTTTCTTTCCTCCAATTAGAGTGCAGTGCCACCTTAACTACGTGTCATATTGTGGTAAGGTCGATCTCAATTTCCACAATCTTGGCACTTCCTTCCCGCCGTACCAAAATTTACTTTTCCTTTCCTGACAATATTATTTCTAGTTGAAATGATAATTCTATTTCTTATAAAGTAATAGATTGGTATTCTGATCAAAACACATGTACTTGCCTTTAAGACTCACTGACTGCAAACTTATATGCTAATTGATTAATAATGCATAATTAGTGGCGATTGTTGTTGTTACGTATGGAGTTTCCAAGGAGTGCCTGGTGAGCTTGAACCACTGACCTTGCAGTTCAAACCGACCTTGCAGTCCAAGGCATTACCACGAGCGTCATACCAGGACTCCAATTAGTGATGATACTTTCTTCTACATATAGTTTGCATATAGACATATGGCTTCAGTGTCTTCATCTAAAGGAAAGAATAATATAGGAATTTCAGTTTCTGTGACAGACCAGACAATATGTCTTTTCGGGGGAGGTAAGGTAAGAGCGGTATCTTTCATTACACTTATGTGTAGGCAAGTACTTTCACACATCAGTACTGCCAAACTCCCCTCCATCTAGTTTTCATCCAGCCTTGTGCCACCTCTCCTGGCTTGTTAAAGATTCGTGGATTCTCTATACCAGTGGTCGTCAGTCTTTTTGACTACGGACACCCCTTTTAAACTTAAAAAAATATTTCATAGACCTCCATCACATAATATGATCCATTACTTGGAAAGTATGTAATGAAAAAAGGCTTTGTAAATTCAATGTTAATTTTAAATGGATAGGTGTTTTAGTAATCGTAGCACCAGCTACGCATATCTAAACATTTGTAATGTATAGCATACATTATTGTTTCAGTCTAAAGACATTGTGTGTCTACTTATGATTTCAAGGACTCCTAGCAGTAATCCCTCCCTTATTTCTCAATCCAGGCTTGGAGACCCACAAGTTGCATACTTCTGCTGTTCAACTGTATACTATCAAGTAACCACATACCTGCAAGGGTTACTTATTTGTCTTGTCTGAGGGCTCTCACAACTATTCGCCTATCAAAGGGAGAGTGTCAAAATGTCTTCAATACCACAAGTGCTTCTTTTGTCTCTGCTTCTGAGTTTTAATATGATGAGGTTCTCATATTACCTATAATCTATTATCTAAAGTGGAGCCATATTTATATTAGTTATAGTTTAGAATGCTTTAGCATATTAGCTATAGCGTAGTTTCTTTCCTTCTGTATTTCAATTGGAAGAAACCCTCAGATGTCTATTTGTATTTTTTATTGTCATTATTCGTAGCCATTACTTTAACCTTGCTGAGTTAAACAAACTGGAGATTGTGGAAAAGAGAACTACCAGTGATTGTATGGCCTTATGGCCTGACATGTAACTCCAAGGCCAAAGAACCTAAGCTAGACGTGGAATAGAACTGAATTTTTAACAATGTCAATTCATGTGGTGATTTTCTTTCTTTCTTTCTTTCTCTCTTTTAGATAAGGAGATGGCAAGGCAAGCATTGCATCTAATAAATGGATATAAACTACATGGGAAAATATTGGTCATCGAATTTGGAAAGAACAAAACACAACAGTCAGCTCTCCAGGCTGATTCTCTCAGATCCTGTGCTACAGATATCAGTGACAGCTAAAAGATCAAGAGTTTGTGGGTCCTGGTTGGTCTTTCTTGCAATCGAAACTTGGATCTAAGATTTGTATAAACACAGCAGTTTGTTTGGAGGTGAAGAAGACAAACTAACTGAGAGTGGTGAAAAACTCCTAAAGATACTTCTTTTCGGGATATGGAGAGAGTTGGTAGAAAACATGTTCTACAATCAAAGATGATTTGCTGAAAATGACAAGTAGGGTACAAAAAGTATCCTTTTCTTGGGATAAATTAGAAAGTATTATTTCTATGATTTTTTATTTTTATCTTTATACTTTTTTCAGGGGCCTTCAATATTTGTCCCTAGAGATTACATTATTTTCACAACTGCCTCCTATTTACAGAACAACAAACTAATTTAATTTTGAAATATATATATTTGCTGGAACCCATCAGACCTTAATTTCAGCCACCTAGTTAACAAAAGACCAGGACCCCAGGCTTAAACATCAACAAATGCTGTTAAGTCAGAACCATCAGCAGTAGCAGTAGGTAGTTTCATAAGTCAATTGACAGTTAGTGAATTCTTTACCGCTAGGTGATCAGTGTCTTAAAAAAAAACATATATTTTTTTAAAGGAATCTTTTAGATCAAAACATGGGTGTTCTTGTGTCCATTTAAGCAAGATATCATTGAGTAAATCATTCAATTCAAAGCAATAAACATTAATTCTCTAATCTATGTTAAATATTGTTGTTGTTAAGTGCCATCAAGTTGGTTCCAACCCATAGCGACCCTGGATAGGGTTTCCAAGGAGCAGCTGGTGAGCTTGAACCGCCGACCTTGCAGTTCAAACGGCTTTGCAGTCTGGAGCATTAACCCACAGCACCACACCAGGACTCCATATTAAATATTAAGCATATAAATTTTAGAAGAATGTAACAGCTAAGAACACTGAAAGGGACTGGAAAGAAAGAATTCTCTAGAAAAGGGATAGTTTATTTATAGCTGCTGGAGAATAGAAGGATAATAGGGTATATGGTAGTAGTACAAACTTTGATGTCGGACCTATATTAAAAGCTCACAGCCATACTTACCACTCTGTGACATTGACAAGTCACCTAATCTGAGCCTCCGTTTTCTCATCTATTAAATGAGGATAATATTACTACTTACCTCATTGGATTGTGAAGATTATGTGAGATGGTGTTATGCAGGAAGAGGAAGAGATAGAAAAATGAATGAAGAATAATCAACAGTCTAAAAACCTATAGGACACCATTAAGCACACCAACATATATGTAATGGAAGTGCCAGGGTGAGAAGAGAGTAGAGAAAAAAAAAAAAATTGAATGCATAATGACTGATAACGTCTTAAGTTAGGTAAAAAACAAACAAACACAATTGACATATCCAAGCTCAGTGAACCCCAAGTAGGATAAACACAAAGAAATCCATAACAGACACATCCTAATAAAAATGCTGAGAGCAACATGAAAATCAAAGAGAGAATCCCATTGACTTCTCATCAGAAATAATGGAGGCTGCGGTGAAAAAACAGTTTTCAAAATACTCGAAGGAGGAAGAAGGGGGGAAAAAAGGTCCATCAAGTCTTCTATATCAAGCAAAGCTTTTCAGTAATGAAGGTGAAATAAAGACATTCCTAGATTATCAAAAACCAAGAGGATTCATTGATAACAGACTCAATTTATAGGAAATATTAAAGGAAGTTCTTCCAAGCTGAATACAAGTGACACCAGACAGTAATTTTAAAGGAAATCAAAGGTAATTATGTGATTATAAAAGACAGTATAAATGTGTATTTCTTTTACTTCTCTTAACTCATTTGAAAAGCAACTGTATTAAACAAAATATTATATTGTTGGCTTTATAACATAACGAACTAGATTTGCAAATAACAGCACGAAGGAGGTGGGCAGATTCAAAAATGTTTTGAACTAAATTAATGACTCTGGATTGTAACTCAAACCTACAGGAGCAAATTAAGAGAACCAGAAATGGGAAATAAGATTAATATAACAGAAGCTATAAATATATACGAGGGTGAATCCAAAATTATCTGCACTCTGGCTGTAGAATTTATTTTAATCAACTTTTAGAGAAGACAAAGACATCATTTTTCGACATAATCTTCTTGCTTTTCAATACACTTTGTCCAGCTGTCAGCAAGCTTTCACTTTCCCTTATTTTAAAGCGTTTTAGGCTGAGCTGCAAGCCACGAACATACCAATGTCTTCACTTCTTCAACAGAGGTGAATCTTTGTCCTCCAAGGGCTCCTTTCAGGGGACCAAACAGTTCAATGGAGCAACATCAGGACTACAGAGAGGATGTTTTAACACCTCAAAACGTAGTGTTTACAGAGTGTCAACAGTGTGGGAAGTGGTGTATGGATGTGCATTGTCAAGCAAGATCACAGCACCCTTGGATAGCAGTCCTGTGTTTAATCCAAAGGTTAAGTTTCAGCTCTTCAGTGAGCATCTCACTGTAATGAGCGCTGTTGATCGTTTAACCTTTTTCTAATAGTGTTCCAATACTGGCCCTTGAGAATCCCAGAAAACTGTAAGCATCAATTTTCCAGTTGATGGTTGACTTTTGAACTGTTTTCTTGGTCTGCAATTGAGGATGTTTCCTTTCCATACTCTGCCATTTGCTCTCAGGCTCCTAGTGATTGATCCATGTCTCGTCACCAGTAATTAATTTTTTTTAATGAAATTTTTACCTTCTTTCTAATATAGGTCCAAATTTTACTTGCAGATGGCCAAACGCTTCTCTTTGTGCTCTTCCGTGGGTTGTTTTGGTACCCATCGCATACAAACTTTTCGAAACCCATGGAGCCATGGCTGATTTGCAAATGATTTGCCACATAATCCACTGTTACTCATCTGTTCAACAGAATCATGATCATCAGCCATGGACCTGGGTGGGCATTTTAATATAACCAGAGTGTGTAAAATTTTTTACTCACCCTCGTACTTTCTGTTTCTTTCTTCTCTGAACTTCTTTAAAAGTGTAATTTTATATTGACTGATAATTATGACAACGTATTGCTGTGTTTGTAACATGCATAGAAGTTATAGATATATAACAGTAATATCACTGAAAGGATTTAGAATATAAATATATAGGAATAACATTTCTATCTCATGGGAATGAAATTAATACAGGTCTGAATTGGATTTTGATAAAAGATGTATCTGGTAAGCCATAGAGCAATCTCTTGGATCTTGGTATAGCACTGTAGGATAAGCAATGGACTGCTGACTGCAAGGTCAGCTGTTCAAACTCACTAGCCACTTCCTCAAACCCTAAACAGGGTTGCTGTAAGTTGGAACCAACTTAATGGCAATAACAAGAGCAGTCACTAAGAAGTTAACTTTAAAAATATAATAAAGAATTGTTAATGCTGAAGGCAATAGAAGGCAGTAATGGAGGAATAAAGAAACAATAAAGTCACAAGACCTGTAGAAAACAAAAAGTAAAATAGTCATAAATCTGTTGATATCAATAATTATACTAAACTTGAACAACTGAAATAGTCCAGTGGAAAGGGAGAGATTGTCAGAGTAGGGGGAAATAAAACAAGATTAAACTCTATGCTGTCTACTGGAAATAGAGTTTAGATTCAAAGACACAAACAGAATAAATATAACAGGATGGGCAAAAATATATCATGCAAATATCAACAGTAAGAAAAAAAAAATACTATCAGTAAAGTGTGAAATTTTATAACGATAAAAGGACCAAATCCATCAGTAAGATATGAACATATATACACCTAACAACAAAGCACCAAAATACAAGAAGCAAAAACTGAAAGACATGAAGGAGGAAATAGGTAAGTCTACAGACCACAAGGTGGTCACCTGTTCAAACCTGCCAGCTGCTCCTCAGAAACCCTATACAGGTTTGCTATGAGTCGGAACTGACTGAACAGCTCTTAACAATAATAATGGACGATTTTAATACCCCACTTTCAATAATAGATAGAACAACAACTAGGCAGATGATTAACAAGGAAATAGAACGCTTGGAGAACATTATAAACCAGATTAATAGCTATAAAGTACTCCCCCAAACAACAGAATATGCATTTTTCTCTAGTCTACATAAGACTTCTCTAGAAAGGAGCTCTGGTAGTGTAGTGGTTAAGAATCGGGCTGTGAACCACAAGGTCAGCAGTTCAAAACTACCAGCTGTTCCATGGGAGACAGATGAGGCTTTCTGCTCCTGTAAAGATTTACAGCCTCAGAAATCCTGTACAGGGTCGCTATGGGTCGAAACCAATTCCACGGCACACAGCCACCACCACCAGGATGGACTATTTGCTAAAGAAAAACAAACTCACTGCCATCAAGTCAATTGCAGCCTTATAGGTCAGAGTATAAGTCACAGAATTTTCAAGGTTGCAGGTCTTTACAAAAACAGGTTGTCCCATCTTTCTCCCACTGAGTGGCTGGTGGTTTCAAATCATAAGTCTTTCAGTTAGCAGCCTAGCACTTTAACCATTGTGCTACCAGGGCTCCTAGATTATATGTTGGGCCATATATTAAAAAAAAAAAAAAAAAAAAAAAAAAAACACCTCAATATATTTTAAAGGATTGAATTAATAAATAATTATCTCCTCTGACCACAAGGGGACAAAACTAGAGGTTAACAGAAAGAAATTTGTGAAAATCACAAATATATGAGAATTAAGCAGCCCTGAGATACCCTTTAAGCCTGGAACTGAACTCACCCCTAGGGATCAACTTTCAGCCCAACAGTCCATGTAGAAGAACAGTAGGCTTGGAAAAGTGGAGAGTCATTGAAAAAGAGGGAGACCTCCAACAAGATGGATTGACATAGTGGCAGCAATGATGGGCTCAAATGTAACAACAATTGTGAGAATGGCACAGGATCAGTCAGTATTTCTTTCTGTTGTGTTTAGAGTCTCTGGGAATCAGAACCAACTCAGAGGCAGCTAACAACAACAACATAAAATAAATAGTGACACCAGAGAGGAACATACTCCTCAGAACCATCAG